TGTGCCCATAACAGACGATGCAAGATTCTTCAGACTTGAAGCATCCAGTATTCCAGTGCAAGGACGCTGGACTATCAGAGGCTGTCTCCACCGATACACTAATGCCAACTCCTGCAGAAAGCCCAGCAACCACTTGTCTTTGTTTTAAAACAGCTTACATGGACTTCTGTTTTCGTTTAAGAGCTTTCCTCTGCCCCTCCTCTTCAGCTGTGCCGAAAGCCCCCTGGAGCACACACAGCTGGATTCCCATTCTTTGCTCTTCCTAAATAATTTCCTTTAATTTTTTTAAGAGTGGATCTGGGTTTCTGTTCCTCAACTTAAGTTATATCACTCCATGCAAGGTATTTTGCAAGTATTTTGGAAAATATTTTCTAAATAAGACAGGACTTTTGTGAGCCTTATGACTGAGTGGTGGGTCTGACCAACTAACAGCAAGTAACTGTAACAGAAGGCTGACTTTACCAGAACGTGACTGAATGAATGTCACCAGGTAGGCTCTGGGAAGGATGGATCTCTCTGGATAGACCTTGACATGTAGGAAGAGGAGGGAATCAGGACAGAAAAAGTATAGCATGAGAAAAGGCAAGAGATGTAGAAGAGTCTGGGAAAATGTGAGGTTTGAAACAAGAGTAAAGATTTGTGATGGATATTGAAAATAGAGGATGGATTGTAATGAAAGGACCAGGCCGCCAAAATGCTTGATTTGTCAATGGAATAAGGAGCTTGGATTTTCTTCCATGGACAGTGAGACCTCATGAAGGGGTTTTAATTATATGTGGTAGGAGAAGCTTTGTACTACAGGGGGTGGGAAAAGAAAGAGAAAGCCAGGCATGGTGGCCCATGCTTGTATTCCCAGCTGTTTAGGAGACTGAGGCAGGAGGATCCCAAGTTTGAGACCAGCCTGGGCAACTTAGATGCTGTCTCAAAAAGTAGACGGGGCCAGGGATGTAGTTGAGTGATAGAGTGCTTGCTTAGCATATGTGACACTCAATCATCAATGCTAGGAAAGAAGAAAGGGAGGGAGTGGGGGAGAAAGACCGAGGGAGGGAGGAGGGAGAAGTAGAAGAAAAGAATAAAAGAGGCATTTCAGAATCAGAAACCTGAGCCAAGTTGTAGAATGGGCCTTAATGTGACCTGATGTATGTGTTTAAGGGCCAAAAGCATTTGGGTTGAGAGCTAAGAAGTCAGAGAGCAATGTATGGGAAGGGTAAGTTTGGAGAGAGAGACCAAGAGGGACTGAGCTGGCTAGGAGAGGAAGGTCCCTGGTGAAGCTAAAGAGGTACTTCCTGTTGGTTTATCGTCAGCGGGAGTCAGGTTGAATAAGATAGAATGTTCTAGAAAATTACCAAAAAAATGCAAACAAACGTACAAGAATTATAACCAGATAGACCAATAGGATCACATACATAACCAAATAATATGCCTATAAGTTGTAAACAAACAGTTTTGAAAGAACAGTAGTGTTTTCTGTCCTAATTAAATGAATTGTGACTTTTTGAGGGTATGTGCTGTGACTGGTTCCCTTCTGATTCTTTCCTTGATCTTGATGAAAATTCTTCTGGCCAGTTTGCTGTCAAGGCTTCCTGTACTTCCACTCTCCTGTCCTGGTCCACAGCCCTCTGTTCCTTCATATTTACCTCTCAGCTCCCAGCACTCTTTCTGAAGCTGAGGCTGCCTGCCTGGAGTTCCAGCCTCAGGCGGGGAGTGAGAGGTCCAGCACAACCTGGGTTCCTGCTCCTCACTGGTGCCTGAGCACCACCCACCACCTCTGAAGGTGAAGGAGGTCAGGGCTGAATCTTCTAGATAAGCAATTTTCTGAACTCTTTGCCATCTTAGTCTCCCAATCTTTTGTGCTTTCTGAAGCTCTTACTCTGAAAACAAAGCCTCATAACTTAGAGTTTGGAGGATACAGAGAATATGCTGCTGATTCAGTCCCTTAAAACAAAACTTCAGGGGCTGGGGTTGTGGCTCAGTGGTAGCACGCTTGGCTGGCATGTGTGAGGCACTGGGTTCGATTCTCAGCACCACATATAAATAAACAAAGTAAAGGTCTATCAACAACTAAAAAAATTTTTTAAAAAAATTGCAGAGGAAGGGCTCTTTCCTAACTAAAGCATGAAGCATTGTTAGGCCCTCAGCACAGTCACTTCATATCCACTGTCCACCAGAGTGACTGGAAAGTCCATCCCCAGAGCTGAGTGACCCTTGGTGAACTCTGTATTTGAGAAGCCCACAGGCTTGTGATGAAACTTCTGCTGTTCATATTGGACTTAGGGTAACTTTGTTTTCCTGAAGCTGTAGAGGGTGTTAGAGTGTAATCAGGCTCCCTGGCCCAAGGCCCCAGCTGTCCACCCAGTGGTGGTTTGCAAAGAGGACGAACAGACTATCCACAGGCCATCCCAAGACCAGAAAGAGCTACTCATTAGACAGGCCAGGTGGTTTCCTTGCATTTCTTTCTTTCCTTTTTTGTTTGTTTGTTTTTATGTGGGAGAGAAGACTCAAGTAAAAGGGAAAACTTGGTATTCCATGTTCCTAAATTTCAATACAGAAAATGTAGGGAAAAGGGCAGTATTTTCTCAGACTGTATCAGTGAATTTCATAAGGTGATTCAAGTGAGAATCAACACATTTTTTAACCTTGACATTCTAATGCTAAAGTTTATAGATTGGTTTAATTTAAACACACTTAGCTAAACAGATTAAAGATGTCATGTTGAAGTGTTGATGGTATCTAATGGGCTGCAAAGCAGCAGGGTGCCAGCAGCCACTAAGAAATAGCAGAGTGTCCAAAAATAGACCCAAATTCAGTCTGTGATAAAGACGACACTTAAATCAGTGGGGAGGATGGATTATTCATTAAATGACATTAGGACAACAGCATAATACAAGAAAATATTAAGCTGGCCTCCTATGTTATTTCTTATACTGAAGTAATTTCCAGACATATTGGGTAGTTGGGTTGGAAGGCGGGCTACAGGATCCTGTTTAAATAGTTCTGAAAGTATGGGGCTGTGTGTTGCTGATTCCAAGATTTCCTCCACAGATTGATAAATACATTAAAAACTGCTCAAAAGAATAGTGAGGGAAATATTTTTTAAATACTTTTTAAGTTTTGTAGCCTCTAGTTGGGCATGACAGAACCCCCCAGCATGTTGGTAGGAATGAGGGAACACACCTGCAGTCTCTGTAAAAGCATCCCAACAAAACCCACTTATTCTAATTATACATATCTTTTTCCCAGGAATTTTTCTTCTGAGCATTTCTCATATTTCTGTGGGATACATAGGAAAAGATGTTCAAAACTATACGTTGTAATATTGTATTGAAAACAAGATAAATGAATTTATTAAATTTGGGAATTAAATACAATAAAATTCTTTGGAGACATGTAAAAGAACATTATTGTGTCCATATATGTTGCTACACCTTAGAGGATATATCATGCCAGTAAATGAGAAAGCTGGGCATGGTGGTACACACCTGTAATCCTAACGGCTCAGGAGGCTGAGGCAGGAGGATCACAAGTTCAAAGCCAGCCTCAGCAAAAGCAAGGTGTTCCGCAACTCAGTGAGACCCTGTCTCTAAATAAAATACAAACTAGGGCTGGGGATGTGGGGATGAGTTCAATTCCCAGTAACCACCCGCCGCCCCCCTCCCCCGCCAAAAAAGAGGAAAACAAAGTGCAGAACAAAATGAGAATTGGACCTACTTACATGGTTTTAAAACAAAAAACAATCTCTGTGCTGTGGATTTTGCAGTAAATGTCTACTCAGGTTAGACAGAAATACAAGAGGCCCTTATTCTGGCCTGGGCTCTTGTCCTAGGCCCCAGCAGACTAGGCCAAACCAGAATGGGATCCTTCCTGCTAAATGCTGCATAAGCAAACTGAAATGTAAGGAAGCAGATCCATCCCAAGGAGACCAGCTTTTCCAGAGAACAGGAGAGTCCATCTGAGTTGGGGGAAGGAAGGAAGTCCTTTTTAGCCCTTTTAGCAAAAATTAGCCCTTTACATATAAAGGGCTTTATTCCTTACCAAATAAATAAATAAATAAACCTGATTTAGCTACTCAGCTGTTTTATTATTCTATTTTTTGTTCCTACCTTAAAAAAAAAACCCTTTGCCCTCTGTGAATTCTCATTCTGTGTTGTAGGTTGGAAACTGCCCAGTTCGTGAATCTTGAATAAAAGCCAATTAGATCTATAACTAATTTTGTTGCAGTTTTGACTTTTGATAGTAGTGGTTGTCTCTGAAAGAGTTACTGGCATCTTAGGGTAGTAGACATGTTTAATTGCATATCCTTTTATTCCACTTGAAATTTTTTTCCTGTGCTTGTATTACTTTTTCAAGTAAAAATAAAAGCCTAAAAATACAACAGATTGCTATAAAACAGGTCCTCATCATCATCATGTATAATCCAAAATACAGTGTTGAGTGAAAAACAACTTGCAAGACATACAATATGACATTGTTTCAGTTTTTTTTTAATATATATTTTTTTGGTTGTAGATGGACACAATACCTGTGTTTTATTTATTTATTTATATGTGGTGCTGAGGATCGAACCCAGTGCCTCATACTTGTCAGTCAAGCGCTCCACCACTGAGCCACAACCCCAGTCCCTTGTTTCAGTTTTAACCCATAAAACAGTTGTTATTTGTGAGTGTGTACGTGTGCGGTGGAATTACAAAACACATGGGAATGAACACAAAAAAGTTACTTCTGGGGAGGAAGAAGAAAAAGGGCTCCATCCTAGTCTACTACTTTCTTTGTTTCTGTTATCAGAGTTCCTAAGAAAGTACAGCAGGATGTTGATGCCAGGAAAAGGAGGGCAGCACTTTCATTTTGTGCTTTCCTATACATTCAAAGGAAAAAAAATACTGAGATTTTAAAATTAGGAGAATTTTTCTTGGCTTTTTTCAGCACTTGTGTTGGGTTGGGTTGTTGCTGAGTTAAGTCACACTTTCCAGAAGTCACGGATATCTTTCTCCCCCTCACACCAGGTCAGCAGTGGCAATGACCCCTGGTCAGCCTGGAGCGCCTCCAAATCTGGGAACTGGGATGGTTCGGATGGCTGGGGGGCCAAGCCCGAGGGGACTGGCCCCCAGAGAAACTCTGCCAACAACTGGGACTCTGCCTTTGGCCACCCCCAAGCTTACCAAGGACCAGGTGAGGACAGGGTCCCACTGTAAGTGACTGGTAGGAACCTGGGTGAGAGGCAAGAAAACCAGTCTGGTTTTGTTTTTCCCACACTTAGTGCACACGCCACACTTCAGTGGCCAAACCCTACGCACCAAGCAGTTTTGCAGCAGGTATTGGCTAGGGGTCCTGCGGTGTGCCTCAGCCCTGACACTGCCTACTTGGAGTCAGCCATGGGATGCCCTGTTGGGGTCCCATTAATCTGCTGAAGCCCTTGGCAGAGCTCAAGGAAGCACTTCACTCACTGTTGCCAGTGTGTTGCAGAGGGTCATTTTTCTTCCTTGTCATTCTTCCCTGAACAGTACTGTAACAACTGTCTATGTAGCATAGATATTCAGTTTAGAGATGGCTTACAGGATACAGGAGGATGTATGTATGAGTGATCATGGAAATACTGTACTATCTAATAAAAGGAGCTTGAAGTGTCTGAGGATTTTAGACTTTGAGTGTGGTCAGTCCTGAAATCAATCACAGTCTCTTATCCCCAGATACCAAGAGACAACTGTTAGAACAAAAAATTCACCTAGCATTCCTCTTGCTCTGGAAATTACAAGTATTTTAGGAGTCCTTTGCTGGAAACTGGGGCAGAGATCAAATATATGTTTATTATATCACAGTATCACACTGGGTCATCTGAGTTAAAAATAGATTTAATTCAAATGAACTGTTCACAGTTGCTCTTATTCACTAATAAAAAAGAGAAAAAAAAAAACAACCCTGAGTCCAAATGTAGACCATCATGAATTATAACGTTCAGTCCTGTCTCAGTCAAGGAGTCCTAGGTTCACACACCTGAAGAGCCAGTTTCATGAATAAGAGTCAGGGGCCACCTGGCCTGTGAGAGACTATATGCCTCCCTCTGGACTCCTCCTCTCCTGTCCTGCCCACCCCTGGCATTCTTCTCTCTGCTCCTGTAAGTTCATCTTTTCAAGGATTCCACATAAAAGTGAAATCACTCAGTGTTTGCCCACCCACATTCCCATTAGAAATGCACAAGGATTACCTTTTCTCGGAACCCTTGCCAATACTCTGTATCTCTTGACTTTTTGATCATTGCCATCCTAACACCTGTGAGATGATGATACCTTCTTGTGATTTTGATTTGAATTTCTCTGATGACTAGTGATGTTGAGCATTTTTTTATAAATCTGTCAGCAATTTGTATATCTGGAAAAATATTTATTTAGGTCTTTTGTCCATTTCTAATTGGGTTATAGTAGTTCCCCTTCTCTGGGGTAACATGTTCCAAGACCCATAGTGGATGTCCAACACTGCAATATGAAAATCTATGATTTAATGCCTTTTCTTTTCTTTTTTGGGGGGGGGGCACAGAAGGGGTTTTATTAATGGACACTGCTGTAGCTAAACTTCTAGTCCCATCTTTTTGAAGGGAATAGAGCTTTTCAAACGCTAGCACAGCAGATTTAATGCCTTTTCTAACTTAACCAAGTATTTATCACACACTATAATCAACTTTTACAATTTGATATGTGACAGCAAAACTAGCAAGGATTTCTTTTTCCTTCTTCCTGATTTCATGGGTAGAAGAGTTGTTCTTAGTATAGATTTTAGCAAACTCAGTCCATGATTTTTTTTCCTTCTTAAGTCAAGGATTCCTCCTTTTTTGCTCAATGGAAGCACTTTACAGCTTCTTTGTCACATCTGAATTTTCAGCCTCACTATGTTTGTGCTTTGGAGGCATTATTAAATAGAATAAGGGTTACCTGAACACTGAGATATGTCAGCCAGTCCACCTCATGACCCAGCTGGCTGACTGATAGGTGATGGTGTATCCAGCATGGATAAGCAGACAAAGAGGTGATCTGCATCCTCAGTAGGATGGAGCAGGAAGTCACCAGGTTTCATCATGCAATGTGAAATAGTGCAGTTTATAACTTAGTACTGGTTTGTTTCTGAAATTTTCCATTTAATATTTTTGGACCATGGTTGACTCTGGGTAACTAAAACTGCAGGAAGTAAAACTATGGATAAAGGAGTCTATCCTTTCCCCATTGAGTCGTCTGAGTGCCCTTGTCAAAAGTCAGTTGACCTGACAACCCTGTTTGTTTCTAATTTATCTTTTGCACTTTTTTGTCTTTTATCATTTGTCTTTTGTCATGATTCAAGCCTAAAATTGTCTGACTGCAAAGCCTGTTCTCTTAACACCTACATTATACTCCTATATTACATCCTTTTTTCTGCCTGTCAAAAAATTGACTAGTTTGTTCAGTAGTTGTTATCAGAAAATTAAGTAATTTTATTTTATTATTTTGTTATTTTTTTTACTGATGTTCTTCTGTTCTCACCTCTAGCAACTGGTGATGACGATGACTGGGATGAAGACTGGGATGACCCCAAGTCCTCTTCTCCTTACTTTAAGGACTCAGAGTCAGCGGAAGCAGGTGTCCAGCGGGGAAACAGTCGTCCTGGGGCCTCCTCCATGAAGCTGCCACTTAACAAGTAAGCTTCAAAAGGAGACGAGGAAACCAGGTTCTGAGTTTAGTAATATATCTAAAATACAAGGAGGCAGTTGGCTCTTCTTCTGTGTTCAGTGATCTGTTGAGTTTTGGGTATGGCTTGGCCATTTTAATTTGCATCTTAGCTTGCAAGTTGATTTTTAAAAATCATTTTAGAGCATTAGCAAAATATTTATTCCATTTAATGATCTACCAAATAACTTTTATTTTACTTTATAAACTCCATGGTATATTTAGCTATCATTGCTAAAAATAATTACTAATAAGAAATGTAAATACATGTATGAAGCTAAAGAAAGCTAAAAATAATATTAATATCAGCTACACTTTTTGAGGGGAAGATACCAGGGTTTAAGCCCAGAGGCACATAACTACTAAGCAACATCCCCAGCCCTTTTTTAAAATTTTTTATTATTTATTTATATTTTTATAAATATTTTTTAGATTTAGGTGGGCACAATATTTTGTTTTTATGTGGTGCTGAGGAACAACCTCAATGCCTCACGTGTGCTAGGTGAGTGCTCTACCACTTGAGCCACAACCCTAGTCCCTTACATTTTTTATTTTGAGACAGGGTTTTGTTAAATTTCTAAGTTGCTGAGGCTGGTTTTGAACTTACAATCCTCCTGCCTCAGTCTCCCTAGCCCCTGGAGTTACAGGCATTTGTCACCATTCCTGGCAATAACAGCTGTCTCTTAAAAGTTCTACTCTTTTATTAATAACTAACCATGTCCCAGGCATCGTACAAAATCATTTGCATGCATTTTCATGTCCCTTTGTGGTACATATAGTCCCTGTCTTAATGGGGAAAACCGAAGGCCAGGGAGGTCAGGTAACACTCAAGCTCACACAGGTGGCAAGTGACCTAGCCAGAATTCCAGGCCATCAATACCCAAAGCATGTATTCCTAGACTACAATGAATATGTTCCCGAGATCTATTTTCACTTAGATTTATCTTAAAGAAAAAATGTTTTTTTATAATACTTGCAATCTTACTGCTTAACAAGAATGCATGTGGCAAAGAGTGAATATGGACTTAGCACTGTAAGATTTTTGGTAGAGAATTCTAGTAAGTTTATATAGTATACTTCATAGTGTAACTTGAAGGACAAAAAGTATGTCATCTTCTTCAGGTACTTTTGTTTCAAATAGCTTGTTTTCTAAAATTACTAATACTTGTTTTTAAGTGTTCCAAGTTCATGATTCAAAGTAGTTATTAAAGAATATTCATCCAGTTTAGAGGCAAACCAGTAAGGCTCACTTCTGATTTCTCACTTCAGACCCTAAAATCAAGGAGGGCCTGGAATGAGATATTCTAAGGTCTAAAAGAAAACAACTGCCATCCAAAGTTACTATACTCAGCAAAGCTAGTAGCAAATCCAAGGGGGAAACAAATACTTTCCATAACAAGAATAAACTAAAAGAATTTGTGAGCACCAAGCCAGTACTACAAAATATACTCAAAAGATTAACTACACACAGGGGAGCTAAAAATCAACCCCCAGCTGGTCGCGATGGCACATGCCTGTAATCCCAGCAGCTCGGGAGGCTGAGGCAGGAGGATTGTGAGTTCAAAGCCAGCCTCAGCAAAAAGCGAGGTGCTGAGCAACTCCGTGAAACCCTGTCCCCAAAATACAAAATAGGGCCAGGGTTGTGGCTCAGTGATAGAGCGCTTGCCTAACATGTGTGAGGCACTGGATTCCATCCTCACCACCACATAAAAATGAATAAAATAAAGGTATTGTGGCCATCTACAACTAAAAAAAAAAAAGAATGGTTCAAAGGCAAGGCATGATGGCACACACTTGTAGTACAGTGGCTTAGGAGGCTGAGGCAGGAGGACTGCAAGTTCAAAGCCAGCCTCAGCAATTTGGCAAACCCCTAAGCAACTTAGTGAGACCCTATCTCAAAACAAAAAAGACTAGGGGTGTGGCTCCGTTGTTAAGCACCCCTGGGTTCAATTCCTGGTACTAACACCCCCCCTCAAAAAAAAAAAGAAAGGCTTGAAGAAGAAATGAGAATAGAAATAAAGAAATTATTAAAAACTAACGAGAACAGAGATACAGCATATCTCTGGGACAGCATGAAAGCAGTTCTAAGAGGAAAATGTATAGCCCTGAGTGCCTACATTAAAAAATAGGTCCTGAATAAATAAACTTATGCTCTACTACAAGGCCTTAGAAAAAGAACAAACCAGTTCCAAAACCAGTAGAAGATAGGAAGTAATTAAGATCAGAGCCAAAAACAATGAAATTGAAAATAAGAAAACAACATACAGGATCAGTGTCACAAAGTGTTGGGTCTTTGAAAAGATAAATAAGGTTAACATACCCTTAGCCAAACTAACCAAAAGAAAGAGAACACTCAAGTCAACAAGATCAGAAATGTAAAAGGAGATATCACCACAGACCCTTCTGAAATCTGGAGGATTATCAGAATTTTATTTTGAAAATATATACTCTAATAAACTGGAAAATGTAGAAGACATTGACAGATTTCTAGTTACATGTTACCTGCCCAAATTGAATCAGATATAGAAAATCTAAACAGACCAATATCAAGTAATGAAGTTGAAACAGCAATGAAAACCCTTCCAGAAAAGACCTTTAAAGAAGAACTAACACCAGTCTTTCTCATATTATTCCATGAAATTGAAAGGGAGGGAACACTCCCAAATACATTCTGTGAAGCCAGTATAACCCTGAAACCAAAACTCTACAAAGATGCAACAAGGAAAGAAATCTACTGACCAATATTCCTGATGAACATAGATGCAAAATTCTTAATAAAATATTAACAAACCACATTCAAAATACACCATGAACGAGTGGGTTTCATTTGTGGGATGCAAGATTGATTTAAATATATGAAAAAATGCTCAACATCTCTAGTAATCGGGGAAATGCAAATCAAAACTACGTTAAAATTTTATCTTACTTCAGTCAGAGTGGCAATGATCAAGAATACAAACAAATATAAATGCAGGTGAGCTTTTGGGGGAAAAGATACACTTACACATTATTGTTGGGACTACAGACTAGTGCAACCACTCTGCAAAGCAATATGGAGATTCCTCAAAAAACTAGGGGTGGACCCACCACATAACCCAGCCATTCCACTCCTTAGTATTTTCCCCAAAAATCCAAAGTCAGCATGCTATAGCAATACAGCCACCTCAGTGTTTAATAGCAGCACAACTCACAATAGCCTAATTATGAAATCAACTCAGGTGCCAATCAACAGGTGAATGGATTAAGAAATTGTGAAGTGTGTGTTTGTGTATTGTATATATACACATTGGACACACACAATGGAGTTCTACCCAGCCGTAAAAAAAGAATGAAATTATTGGCATTTGCCAGTAAATGAATGGAAATGGAGAATATCATGCTAAGTGAAATAAGCCACACTCAGAAACTCAAGGCTGTTTTCTTTTATATGAGGAAGCTAGAGTAAAATAAAGGAAAGAGGAGGGAAGGATAGGATATCATAAAGATAAAGGGAAGATCAGGATTGTAAAAGAAGATGATCAAGAGACAGTGGAGGAATGGGAAAGGGGAGGTCATGCAGAGTGGATTCTTAAAAATTCATGTTATGTGCATATATAAGTATACCACAGGGAACCTCACCTTTACGTATAAGTAAAAAGAACCAATCTCACCTTTATGTATAAGTAAAAAGAACCAATCTGACATAAATAAATAGATTGAGTGAAAGAAAGTTTAGTAGAATAGAGAAAGACAAATTGTGAGGGAAAAGGAGTGGGGAAAAGTCGGGATCATGAACTGAAATTGAATTCCATGCATGTGTTAGTTTGTCGGGAGGAACCCAACTACTGTGTATTACTATAAAGCTCTAATTTTAAAAAGTTCTTAATGTGTATGGAAAAGAACTGCAAACGTAATGTTTGGCTGTTATCTGGAGCCAAGGTTTAGAGGAGGCCCACACATTCCAGAGTCTATTGAAATCACCCCAGGGATTAAGTAGGTCCCTTGCACCTCTCTCCAGTGTCTTCCATTATTGTTTTCATGGTCAGGTGCATAATAAATTTAGTCATTCATTATTACCATATCTTGTTTTTAGATTCAAATTTGAAATTCTCAGTATGGTCAGTAGTGATGTCTGTTTCTCTCAGTTGTTCTTTAAGCCTTAATATAATGTTTAAATCCCATTTAAATATAATCTGTCTCTTGGACCGATTTTGAAAAGCAGAGATTAAGAAAAACCAGTGGCCATGTTTCCTAGCCATTGTGTGAGGCTGACTCACACAGCTGCCCTGCCCTGCTCTGCACTGGCTCTCAAACTCTGAATTTGAGGACATGTTTGAACTTCAGTTTCCCTGTCTGTAAAGCAAAGAAGTTGGCTTTAATTAAGCACTCTTTCTGCTCTAAAATGTCATTCCAGGTTGAAGCCAAACTAGAGTAGTCTCCATGTAACCCTATTCTTCTCAGGCTTCCTTCTCTCTGTGGTGCTGGGAATAATTGAAGTCATATGCATTTTTACTTAACTAGACTAATACACATGAGTCACTTTGAACAGTTATGAAAATTTTAAAAATGTATTTACAGCTTTTCAGCAATTCATTTTATTGTCAGCTGTATTCAACTCATGGAATATAAACCTTATACTAAAAGGGAGACAAATAATTTAAATATGCTTGAGCATTTTAAGATCTATTTTGATAATGCTCAAGAATTAATAAATTACATTGCCGTAGCTGGATGTACACAGTTAATGCTAGAATTTTGTCATGGTCCATAAGAATACTAAAAAATGTGATGTGCTTTCTGTGCTCAGCTCAGTCACCATCTGGTCAGGGAGTGATTACAGTATCTGGTTCCCAGAGGTCCTTTAATGAAAGGACCATGTTAGCCTGCTAGTTCATTAAGTATTTAGTATGTCCTCAGGACTGGTTCAGGTCCTGGAAATACTAATACTTTCTCTGAAGTCCCTCTAGTCTGCTGTAGTGTGTAAATGGACAGTGGCATTAAGTAGGATAAATTGTGTAGCAGGCATCTGAGTACAGAATGCTGAGGCAGCACAGAGAGGGATCCCCCCGAGGCTGCACTGAGTATCTCCATACTGGGTTCTTCACACCCCTCAATTCCCTTATCACCCAAGAACGTGGGTCGTCTCAGTTCCATTCTTCTCTGGGGAAACCACCTGAGTGCTCGAGCTGCAGTTCACATCCAGAGCCACCGACTCCAAGACTCCTCTTTGTTCTTCCCTGTCTGGGCTGCATTTTAAAGCATGTCTAGGGTATGGGGACTTCTGGGAAGCCAGTTAAGAATGAAAGAAAGGTACCAACCCCCGAGCATCAGGCAGGCTTTTGGCTAGGTATATGAATGAAATTAGAAGCGAACTGGGACTTTGTAAAAGTAAATTTTCCCCCCGATTTTAGGTATTTTGCTTTCAGGATTTTTTAGTAAATTCTAAAACACATTATTTTCTTTTTGAGAAGTAGCACTTTGGATTACTGTGCACCTATTCTAGTTGTTCTACAGTTTTAGATATTGCCTTTGAATGTAGAGTTGTAGCCATATGCATTTATGATGCTTGGGGCTGACTATGAAGAAAGACTTCTATCCTGTCTCATAAACTGACCCTGAAGGCATTCCAAAATAAAATGGCACAGATGCTTGTGAACAGAGTCGGCATTCTCGGCCTAACTGTAGTCACCCTGCATGAGTGTGTTAAAAGGCACCTGTACTTTGGAAGTAGAATGCCTTTGTGTACCCATTGCTCCATGTGGCCTACTCAAATTGGTGTGCTGGGTAATAGGGCATGGGAGGGGCCTTTTTCAGGTTTCCCTTTACAATGTTGGTGATAGATGGTTTCAGATCCAGTTACACAGAGAACCAATGAATATCACACCTTCTAAAATCAAACTGCTCTGGAGCGTAATTAAATGATGAGCTGGCCATTGAACATTACATCAGGTTTCATTTACTACACTCCAGTTCTGGTGTATCTGAAAGATAGAACAAGGTTAAAGCTGGGGTATCAGGGAAACATGGTGAGACTTGAGAATTTTCTGAGGAAAGGCATTAAGACTCACAACATTTATCTTCATGGTTAGATTTCCTGGATTTGCAAAACCTGGAATGGAACAGTATTTGTTGGCCAAGCAACTAGCAAAACCCAAAGAGAAAATTCCCATCATCGTAAGTTTGTTCATATTTTTTGCTTTGTTTCTAATTAAGGTCTTTTACAGCTAAAAGGGTTATCAGTCTTCTGGAAAGTATTTTTAAACAGATTTTATGTCCCAAATAATTGATGATATCCTAGTATTTTAGGAGTGTTAAAGATAATTAGCATAAATTAGTGCCTGAATATTATCCAGATATTCTGTTTTTAATCTTTGAAATTATTGATATTGAAGCAACACTTCATAGACATATTCTTTTAATATCTTTTCTATTGCGTATATTTTGCATGCTGTTTTTCTACCTATTTTAGCTAATAAGCTCAGTTCAGATGTGTCAGTTCCACCTTGGAAAGCGCAAGCATGCTGTCAGAATCAGGTCCTTTTCCCAGGATGCTGGTCACAGTGCTTCTTGCAGAAGGCCAGCTGTCAGCTCAAGCAGTGGAAGCTGAGCGCTATCAACACCAGGAGGGGCTCCCCCTGTCTTAGAATACTGATCATTATGCAGAGTGACACAGGCTCTTTGGTTTCATCCCATGTTTTGATCTAGCTGTATGTTCCCAAATGAAATTCTGGCTATTTTCTGACCCTATCCACTTAACCCTGTGAAATGTGAAGTGGGGCGGCCTGGGGTAGAATTGCCATGATGCCAACAAGGATGAGGAGACACTGGTCTGGTTCTATAATTTTTGGTTCTGGACTTGATGAAATTGCAGGAATAACACTGGATGCTTTAATTACTTGTTCTCACATCTTTGAAAAGCTTCAAATCCTAGAAACCTCCAGACAGTGGAGACCCTTTTATCTTTTCCCTCAAAGCAAATTTGGGGTATACCTTACCAAAAGTAGTAGTGGAATTAACAATTATTTGATTTTTTTGTTTGTACCAGGCTTTTAATAATTTTTTCATTCCTCCTTGAATCTGAGTGGATTTCTTTCCTGGAAGTGTTCCCTTTACACGCGCGCGTGTGTGTGTGTGTGTGTGTGTGTGTGTGTGTGTGTAAAATTATTCTTTTGGTTAAATTTAGAACTCAACACAATTAAGAGCCCATGGCTCTGCCCTCACCTTCATAAAGTGGATTTTGTCTTGGGGGTGACAGTGGTGGACCAGTGTGGAAAGCTGGGGCCTGGCCCTGTCTCACGAGCTTTAGGTAGAAGCAGGGCTGCCTGTGAGGGCCTCTTGCATGGAAAGGGAAGCTGAGCAAAGCCACAGTCTTCGGGAAGCCAGGAGAACCCAGAGACCTGCTTCTCTATTTGGAAGGTACAAGTAGCCCTTCCCACTAGTGAAATATGGCCCCGGGGACATGGCCAACCCTGCCTCTCAGTGCCAGTCATGAGGGAAGTTCCCCAAGGTGCCCTTGGGTTCTACTCTGAAGCTTTCGCAGAGCTTCCTGATTGTGGCCCCTCTGGGGACAGTATGGCTGTTTGTTCTCAGAGATCTTCTCTTTAGTCCCTTACTCCAGTCCTCGGTTGCCTTCCTGACCTAAAGACCTCTGGACTTTCATACTTCATACTACTTTTTCCCTTGCCCACCTTGAGAAAGAAAGGGGACTGGTTGTCACTCTTTTCCCTTAAATTTGCTGGTTTTCCCTTAGAGATCTCAGCCTGCACATGGTCTTCTCGTTTCCTTTTTACTCTTCTTGCTTTTTCTAACTGTAAGATTAAAAGCTGTTTTATAAAAGACTATTTTCATTTCTCCCTGAATCTGAGTGGATTTCTTTCCTGGAAAATGTTCCCTTTACATATTGTTTTTTTTACTTTATTCCTAGATTACATAATTTAGTACTTTTCTATTCCAATTCAAGAAGTTAACATATCCTCAAGATCATAAGGACTCTTGTTCTTTTTTTAGTTATTATTGGATACAATATCTTCATTTTATTTATTATTTTTAAGTGGTGCTGAGGATTAAACCCAGCACCTCACAAGCACTAGGTGAGCGCTCTACCGCTGAGCCACCCAAGACTCCTGTTCTTTATATGTCCTTTGATGGGATCCACTGGTCCTACAGACTGGCTCTCAGAAGTCTATAAGTTTCTATTCATTCTGAAATGGGTGATCCAGAGCCAACATGAAACTATCAGTCATTCAGGGAGTGATATCAGGAGCCTATGTGTGAGCCCCAGGACCCATAATCTTCTGCAGCCACCTCTATAGCCTTATAGTTCTAAACAAGATGAAATGGCCACATTCAGGACTGCAGACTTGTTGGCAGTTAGCAGTGCCTGGCAGAAATGATCCTCAGGCTCCACACTTACATGCAAGTTCCCGGTACCCCCACAGAGAAGTTGCCCAGTTCCCTTCCTCACCCCATCCCCAGTGAAACCCCAGTTTTGTAGTGGAAGCGTAAGAAGCCTCACCTGAATTTATGCCTTTGCTCCTTGGTCACAGATGGGAAAAGGCAGCGGAGAAAGAATGGGGCCTGTCTTTTGGTAAACCTTGCCTAGCAGGTGGAATACCCGGCACAGGAAGTGAGCCAACCCACTGCACAGACATCCCCAAGAGAAAACATATGGCCTAATTCTTGCTTTTGAGAAACAAAATAAAAACTCCCTGCCTACAGTAAAGCCGTGGATGTGAGATCCTGGCCAATCCAATTAGCCATTTCTGTAGCTTTGAACAGAGCTATTCAGAATTATCATCACAGATCAGTTGCCCAGTTAAAAACTGTTACTAGTTCACCCAAAGTACAAAAAAATGAGAGTATTTCGAAAATTTGATGGTAATTTGACATCATTGAGAAATCCAAATGTGTAAATTTTTACTTCGTAAAACTATTAGTCTGTAATAGATTGGGAAATTTTTTAAAATGGCTTTTCACAAATAGCTTGAGAAACTGATCTAGAGAGAGGCACTGTGTTCCAGCCAGTACTTGCCTAGATGGGGAGCCATTTTCTCCTCCTTGTGGGCCAGGCTGCCTACAAGTGTGTTCTAACAAGTGTGTTCATCCTAACAAGTATGTTCTTCAAATGTGACCTCTCATAGGAACAGAGACCAGTTATGAACCTTCTTGAAGAGGAGTAAGAATGACCTTCCAGAGGACTTATGATCCTAAAAGAATCATTTACTGATTTGTACCAATTGTATGTACTGTTTTTCCATGTTATAAAATTAACTTTCCCTGGATCATTGTGTAGGTTGGAGATTATGGCCCCATGTGGGTTTATCCTACCTCTACATTTGACTGTGTGGTAGCAGATCCCAGGAAAGGCTCCAAAATGTATGGTCTGAAGAGCTACATTGAATATCAATTAACACCTACTGTAAGTGCACAGTGTCGGACACAGCGGTGCTCCCTGCTCTGTCTGCTGCTTGCTTTTCCCCTTGTTTTCTGTAGTGGACATTGGTAACTTCTCATCTCTTTCCCTTATTTTGTAGAACACTAATCGATCTGTAAACCACAGGTATAAGCACTTTGACTGGTTATATGAGCGTCTCCTGGTTAAGTTTGGATCAGCCATTCCGATCCCTTCTCTTCCAGACAAGCAGGTCACAGGTGAGTGTGTGTCACGCTGAGCATAGGACAAGGAAAAGGATGCAGTCAGGTTGGCCTCCTGCAAGGGGATGTGGTTCTCTAGAGCAGCAGGGTGCCCACGTGTGGGAACAGTAGTTAATACATCTGAAAAGAGAGCTAGAACACATGTTCTGGTAACGTCTGGTTGTTACCTGAACACCAGTGGGATTTTTGATAAAATTTGCTAGCAGTTTTGATCCCCCACACTGGGGGAAACAAATTGTTATCAGAGCTCTAGTGGGTGTACCCTGAATTCCGGCAGTCTTTGTCTTTATTTTCTCCTATAAAAGAAATAGGTACATTTTTTTAAATGTGAAAAAATGACACCTGAAAAAATAGAAATTATTTAGAAAGCCTAAAATGAAAATAAAAATTGTGACCCAAATAGTGTAAAGAGGTATGCAGACCAGCTGTGTCACTTTCTACAGAGGTGTTTGTAATTGATTATTGCCCTTTCCCTTTTCTTGTTTATTTAAAGTGTTCTTCTTCCCTCACCACTTTCCTTCCCCCAAATTATTCTGGTGAGTAACACGTGATGCCAGGGCATCTTGTAAACGAGCAGTCAGGATTTATTACAGTCAGGATTTATTCCCGTGCTGGGGAGCTGTCCTGTTCTCTGGTCTTCATCCCTAGCCTGGCATGGAATCTGGGTGTCCGAGCTCAGGGATTCTGCTGCTGTGGCTCATTACAAGGTTTTTGGAGACACTGAGCTTTTCCAGAGGTGAGAGGAGAGGGTTTAGTATGCAGCGGGAAATGTTCAGTGGAAGGAAACCACAGTGCAGGAAGGCCTGGGAGGAGAGTGAGAGCGAGGTATCCGAGGGGCTGGGAGAAGAGAGTCGTTCCCCTCAAAGCTTTACTTTGTATTTTATTTAGTTTAATATTTACTTTTCTAGATATAGGGGGGATGGAAATTTCATTTTTAAAATTTTTCTTTTTTGAAAAATTTTTTTCAGAAATTTCAGAATAGAGAGTAAGGGCTTCCCTTCTAGGTAGATGGACACATCCCAGCAGCCCTGCTGGTGAGCTGATGAGGCCCCTTGAAGAGCCGAAGAGCCAGGGTGGAGAGTGGAAGTGAGCCACCTCCTCCACAGGGTTCCCGAGCCCCCCTGCCTGCGCCCAGGGTAGACACTCTCCCTCCTTTTGCCACCTCATTGCTTAAGTGTCAGCTTTCAGATTTCTTTCCATGAAAACATTAGTCCTGCCTTTCTTCGTATTTTTGGATTTCAGTCTGTTGTTGGTTTGACACTCACCTTTGGCCTCTTGGTTGGCACAGCATGTGCTCCACAGGATTTAAAGAGTTCACTGACTGTCTCAGGGTTGTGAGGCTTCCTTGTGTCATTTAGGTTTAATACATTATTAATTCTGAATCAGATAATTCAGTGCTATTTAAAGCACCACAGAGTCACAGTTCTCCTTCCATATTAAGTTTTGTTTTGTTTGTTTTTTGAAATATGGGCATGCCTCCAAGTAGGTGGCAGAGAGAAGCAAGAAAGCAAAGTCCCCCAGTCTGAAAACAGCCTTGCTTTGGCCTGCTGACTGGATGTGTGCCGAGGAGAGTGAGGCACACGGAGCCGCGTTTCCCCCCTTCTCTCTGGTTTGCCTTCTGCCGGTGATTGCCACAGGTCATTGGGTGTACAAACTCTCCTCCTCCTGAGCCCTGGGAGGAGAGGAGGAGGAAGCCCAGTAGAGGATGTCCTAACATATCTGTGGACTTCATAACCAATATCCTTACAAAGGTCCTAGCCAACATTTTTTGTGGATTTCGTTCTTTGGGAAATAATACTGAATGAATTGGGTTTATCCCTGGATGCCATATAGTATCATGGCATGCTTGGTGAAAACCCAAGTAAAGTTTGTATAAAGTGGAGGAATGAGAGTTCCTTCTACTGGTGTTTTTTTTTTTTTAAATTAGTCTCTGGAACCTGGTATGAAAGTCTTACCAAGCATAAAATAATTTCCAAAGGCATAGTTTAGAGGCAAACCAGCTATGTCAGAAGAATTTTCACAAGGATGAAGTCTTTCAGTAGAATAAAAATCATTAAATTTCAACCACTGGTTAGTTAACAAACTCTTGGGACAATTCCAAGCCGGCCCTTCACCCCGCAGCCTCACACACAGACGGCACCAGGCTTTCTGCTCCCACGATTTTCTTTTTGTTTGCGTCTTTCAGTGGTTTAGTTCTGCTTATCTTGGTGAGGATCCCTTTGTACGTGTTGTACAAATACAAAGTTTATTGAGGTTCGTTGAACTTCTTGGAAGTGTAGATAAAAGTTTTTCATCAAATTTTGGAAGGTTTTTGCCATTATTTCTTCAAATATCTTTTCTGCTTCTTTTTCTTCCTCTCCCTCCAGGACTCCCTTTGCAGGTATTTGGAGTGCTTGATGAGTTCTAAGGCTTGTTCATTTTATTATTTTTTTCTTTCTGTTCTTGATCTTAAAGAATTTATATTGATTGTCTTCAAATGCTCTGATTCTGTCTCCTGCCATTCTGAATCTGCTGTTGAGCCCCTAGAGGGAATTTTTTATTTCAGTCAGTATACTTTCAATTCCACTAATTCCCTGTGGTTCTTTTTTCTTCTTCTTCTTCAAATAATTTCCATCTCTTTGAGAAGCTGTTTGTTGATTGCTTATCATACTTCTGTTTAATTTTTTTAAAACAAGTTTCCGTTAGTTCTTTCAACATATTTGTAGAAGCTGCTAAATTCAACATCTTAGGACACTCAAGACAGCTTCTTTTGACTGCTTTTTCTCTCAGTGTGGATCATATCTTGCTGTTTCTGTGCAGTACTCTCATTTTTTTTGTTGAAAACTAGAGATTTTGGGAAATATATTTTAGCAACTCTAAATTCTGATTTTTCTTCCCTGAAAGTTGTTTTTGCTTAGTTAAGTAACTTTCATTGGCAGAATCTCTGAATTCTGGCTCCCTTGCAGCTTAGTTATTTTTATATGTGGTTATATTTCAAAAGCCTTTTTTTTTTTTTTAGTGATTTGAGCCCAGGGCCTCACTCACGCATGCTATACCACAAGTTCTTGTGTACACCCCAGCCCTGTTTATTTTATCAATCTTACTTCCTGTGTCCATGTAGATTGGTGAGAGGCCAGTGATTGATGGGATAGAGGTTGTGCTCAGCAACTCATGCCAATAGGGCTTCTGTCCTGTCCAGGTAACTGTAGGTAGGGAGAGTACTTTCAAAGCTCAGGTCATTTCTAAGTTAGCCCTAGCTTTTACTGTGTCCTGGTAGCTGGGAGTGTGGAGTGTGTGCTGCTGCACCAGGCTTCCTGAGCCCTTTCCTGTCTCTTCAAATGTGTGCAGTTTCAGGTGGGCCTGGTCCAGCTGCTACTGTTTGTGCACACCCTGAGCCTGGAATGTGCTTGGCTCAGCCATCTCAGCTGTAGTGTCATTGGTGCTCCCTGTTCACCCGCCTCTACCATTGTCACTTCCACTCCTATCTGAAACACAGGCAGCTCCCTCTGTCAGCTTCACATAGGTGAACTGCCTCCTGCCCTGGCAAGAAGGCAGCGCTGCCAGTCTCCATAGCACTCTGCCCTGGCGTTCTTTCAGCAGGGGTGGGAAAGAAAGCACACAGGAGCTGGGAGAGATGGCCGTCTGCCTTAGCTTATCTGCAGAGGACTGATGTGGTTTTGCCACTGCTGTCCAGCCTTGTAGTTTGCTTCTTGGGGAGAGGATCCGGTGGTATCCTCACTGGTCATAGTGGAGTTTGTTTCACAGGCCCCTGAATCCTCGGTGTTGATTTGCTGTTCATACCTCATGCTTGTCAAACTGACTTTCTACTTTTAAAATAGCAATGTTGCTCATTGAGCTCTACTTTAATGCAACCATAAAAATTCTAGGATAATAACTTCCATTATCACATTCATGGAAAAATTACTTTTGCTTTTGTTTTTGGCTGGGTGTTTTCTTTGGATTTCTTTTGTGGTGCACACATGGACTGAATCCAGGGCCTTGCACATACTAAGCAGGCACTCTTCCTCTGAGCTGCTTCTCCAGCCTATTTTCAGTTCAATTTTTTAAAACACAGTGGAGAAATAAAGCAACAGTCCTGAGTTGCTCAAGTACTGATTACAGTGCTAAGTGAGGATTATGTGCACTCAGCCGTATTTCTGCAGCTCTGGAAATGTTATGTACTTTGGGAGAGAGATTTACTGAATTCCACTTCCTCCTTTCTTTCCTCTGGGGCTTCCTGTGGCCACCCAGGAACTGGCCTAATGTTTACTCTCATGAGCTAGAGATAGTTTTTTGTATTCCAATAAGACTTACTTAAAATTTTAATTTTGACACACTAAAAGCTTTGCTGATATGTTGAATTGGAATTTCATTCCTTAAAAACTGTGATATCTTTCCTGTAAGCCTTTGAGAAATCTTGTGTTGCATGGTTTTTAGAATGCTGAAAAATTCCCACGGTTTGCCTTTTACAAAATGCTTTCTACTGACAGCCAGCAGTCACAGAAATGGCTTCTCAGTCATAGCAATAGCAACTCACTTTAGAGAGGGTTGTGTGTCACTGGCGGTGTCTCTTCGGCAGGTCGCTTTGAAGAGGAATTTATAAAGATGCGCATGGAGAGACTTCAGGCTTGGATGACCAGGATGTGCCGGCACCCAGTGATCTCCGAAAGTGAGGTCTTCCAGCAATTCCTAAACTTCCGAGATGAGAAGGTAGGACAACTCATTGTCACAGTCTTGGGGAAATGAGTTCTGCCACGATCACACGGAATTTGTCTAGAAGCTAAAACTAGGCTGTTTGGAATTTGTTTGTCACCCGCTTCAGAGACAAAGAGGGCACAGAAACCTAAATCCCACCAGAGGAAGTTCAGTGTGCATTGAAAGAGCTGCCAGGCAGAGGCTCCTCCAGCTGGGAACGTCTGGTCGCAGCCAAGCAGGGGCAGACAGGCTGAAGGGTGCGTGGGGGCGACAGGTTGTTTACTGACCTCAGGTGAGGAAGGTGCTGTCAGCTGTCAACGTCAGGTGAAGGGAACCAGTGACGGTTCCTGAATGTCTTCGACCTCACAGAGCTGTAGCATCTCAGGAGGAAAGCAGAATCTGGTGCCATTCCTAGAGCCAAGTCACTTTCCCATAACTGTATTGTGAATCCAAAAGACACGCTGGGCTTGCTCTGCTGACCCCAGGGGCCACTTACTGACAGAAGTTTTCTCTTACAGTTAAAATTAGAAAAAACTGGCTACTTGACATCTCACTATATCTGCTTAGGAAATAGATTTCTCTCCTGATGAGCATTTACTGTACGCTGTACTATGTCTCTTCGGCAGGTCGCTTTGAAAAGGAATTTATAAAGACGTTCTCTAAAGGGGTTTTCTCCATAACTCACTTCTCTTATAAAAAAAAATATTGTGTATTTTAGAAAATAGTCCAAAGTGTAAAAACTTGAGTTCACTCAGAACAGCAGCAGGTGCTAAATATATTATGACCCTGGAAAAAATGTTATGAGGTTATGTCTTAAATCACATAGTAGAATACCATCAATCCTATTGGAACTTTCAGGCAGAGATTTATTTGCTAAACTTCTTATGGTACTTTTCCCTTGTTGAAGTGAACACATTTACACACTGTCTAAATATTAGGGCCCTATCTGTGTATTTATAGACATATACACATATTTAACACAGTATAAGTATTTGGGCTTAATCTTCAGTTACTGCCTCTTTCTAGACTTGACAAGCACTTTTGGTGTGTTGCATATCACCAAGAAGGGAATTAGAAAACACTGAGGTCCTCTAGCGTTTCTTGGTAAGTTTGTATGTGTCATCTGTTAGTCTTGCAGGCTGCTCTGCAAATCCTGGCTTTTCTGTTAAGAGGCAGCATTAATCTGTAGTATGTCATGGAGCTCTATTGAAGTGAAAATAGGTTTTTAACATTTTGTTACTTGGTAGCTATGGAAGCTACATGGACCCTTCATGGTTTGCTGTCTCATGGTGAGCCAAAGGACTTCAGTAGTCCCAATTGTGTGATTTGCCCAGGATTTGATGTAGAAAGCATATCTGAAGGTCATGTATCTACATAGTATAGTGTACAGATAATAGTAAACCCTCATCACGGGTCGTTTTACTTTTCATGGCTGCCATCTTCAAGGACAGATCAGCATGTGGTAAAAGTGTGTCAGAGAAACGGAGAACTTGGAGTCAGGATGCTTCCAGCCTGGGCTGTTTCTGCCCACTATGTGATCTTGCTCAGGGCATGTGTTCTCTTTGGGCCACATTTTCTTCTCCTACCAAATGACATTATAGAACTAGGAAAATGAGTTCTATGGCTATTAGTAGCTCATATAGTAGTGAACATAGAAAATCCCAAAGAAAATACATAGAAATTACTGGAAATAAATGAGCATTAAGGTAGCTAGAGATAAGACATTGCAATTTGTCAGTGATAAAAAAATTTTAAGTAAAAAAAACCCAAAAGCCTATCATTTACAATACCATCCAAAGTGTCAAATAACTAGGAATAAATAGAAGAAATTTAAGAAAGCTCTCCACAGAAAACTATGAAACATTATTGAGATAAGTAAAAGAAGACCTAAATAAAATTTCTAATACTGTGTTTCACAGATTAAAAAACAGTAAAAATGTCATGAGTAGGAAAAGTGCTAAGAGGAGCCGAGACGCTCTAGGAGGGCTCGCTGGCCTCAGCTCAGTGCAGCTCGGGCAGCTTAGGAAGCACCGAGCTGGTGCCTCTGGGCCTTTCCTTTTCTCTTCATTCCTTCCTCTTTTTTGTTTTTCTTCCCCTCTCTCCTCTAAAGGATTGACAGGCAGCCCCAGAGGACAGGATAGAGTAGCCTGGAGCACGGAGGGAGGGAACAGAGCTTTTTCAGTAAGCAGTGCTGGCCTGTTGGGCTCTGGACAGCTTCTCCCATGCTCACATCCGGAGCCGACTACAGTCTCCTTGTGTGCTGGGCCTTGCAGCAGGACAGGGTCTGGGCGGTTTCTTCTGCTCCGTGAATGTTAGTTGCAGGGCATGCAGCTGAAGTTGTGACCAAAGGAGGGTGTGCTCCCAGGAAAGTCTCAAGGAAGAGTAATGTAGGCAGCAGAAGCAGCCGTCAAAAGGGTGAGAGTGTAGAGGTGCAACCAGGGGAAGGGAAGTTGGAGGTAAAGTTCTTCCAGATACGGAGGCATTGAAGTGGGTCTGGACAGTGAGGGATTTTTTTCTTCCTTAATTATCTCTTTTTTTTTTCTTTTAAGTTTTCTTTCTTTTTGAGATGAAGTCTCACTGTGTTGCCTAGTGACCTTGAATTTACAGTCCTTTTGCCTCAACTTCCCAGGTACCTGGGATTATAGGCACAAGCCATTGCTCCCAGCTGATAAGAATTATTTCCTATTTAGAGATGGAAAGTGCGTAGGCTGAGTAAGTCACTGTGGGGACTGCACCACGTGAAGCTGCCTATTGCTTGAAGTTCTGAAATCTTTCATAATGTAAAAATTGTTCATTCTCTCTTATAATAAACTAATGAGACAAAAAAGAACAGCGACAGAAGATTGATGTCATTGAAGCCGAGTCTGTGGGGGCTTACACTTTTCTCTCTACTTTCATATGAGTTTTGTTTTGTTTTTGGTGGTGCTGGGAATTGAACCCAGGGCCTTGTGCACGTGAGGCAAGCACTCTACCTACAGAGCTATATCCCCAGCCCTACTTTCATATATGTTTGAAATTTTCCATTGTATCAAAGTTTTAAAAACCAATTTCAGATGTAAATGTGGAAGGCAGTGTAATGAACCTTCTAGAACATGACCTAGAATATTATCTTCATAACCCTAGCGTGGGAAAAGATTTCTGAAATGAGACACAAACAAGACTGAGCATTCGGGGATAGATTAATAAATTAGACTACAGTAAGACTAAGGACTTTTTTTTATCAGAAAAACCATTAAAAGTTTAAAAAAAACAAGCTATTTATATAAAAGATATTTGCAACATAAATACCCAATGAAGGTATTTAGAATTTATAAAAACCCACATAAACAATAAGACAATCAGCCCAGTACGATCAGGGAAATGTAAATTAAAACCACAGCAAGACACCAGTCCACACTCACCAACATGGCTAAGATGAGGAGACTGACAGCCACACTTCTCCTTGGAGAAGTGAGATGCCACTGGACTCACTGTGCTGGGGGGAGTGGAAATGGGTAAGAGCAGCTTGGAAAACAGTCTGGCGTTACCTACCGTAGTTGAACCAGGATTCAGCATGTGCACTCAGGTACCACGGAGTGCAGCCCATGCACACCAAGAGGTGGGCACATCCCTTACTGACAGGGAGAGGTGGCTGCCACTAGCAGAGTGGATGGACACGTTGGGAAATGCTCATGCAGTAGCACCTGCAGCCACGCACAGCAGTGTGGATGTAGGTCATTTCATGGCTGACCAAAGAACCCAGGCACAGAGCAGTGCATACTTGATGGCTCTTTGCAAGTTCAGAAAAATGGCCAAACAGTAATGGTGGGGGTGGCGGGAAGGGTAGATGTTAAAACCAAAAAAGGCAGGAAATGAAAACCGTCAAAGAAAGAATAGGGGCACCCTTGTGGGGGAGAGGGGTGTAAGGAAGGAGCCAAGGGCCTCTGGAATGCCAGCTCTTTTCTTTTTTGGCCGAGGTGTACTCACACAGAATGTGTGAGGGTGTGTTGCTCTGTGTATTTCTGCTATGGGCACTGAGTTTGTGTGTGTGTGTGTGTGTGTGTGTGTGTGTGTCTTAAAATAAGTTTTTAAAAATATCTCATAAAACTGGTTCCTATCTTGTATTTTAGAAAAGCTCTAACCATTTTTTGAAAACAGCTAATGGTCAAAATTTACAGGGTGTGTTTATAGTCACTGTGTTTATCTTGGTAGCCTTGGAAAAGGCATGTGACCAAATCTGTTTGCTCTCAAAAGACTTGGTTTCGTGAGGACTGCTCGGCAGTGGTGCAGGTCACACACTGAGGTTACTTGGAGGTGTGCAGGCACCTGGCCCCTGATGCAGGAGAATGGAACGGAGGAAGAGGAGGATGACCAGTGAACTGAGCCGGCACGGGAATCTGGAAGACCACCGACTCTGCTGTGCGTCTGACTTTGTGATGCTGTTCTCTTTTGCAGGAATGGAAAACTGGGAAGAGGAAGGCTGAGAAAGACGAGCTGGTGGGAGTCATGATATTTTCCACCATGGAACCAGAGGCGCCTGACTTGGACTTAACAGAGATGTAAGAGACGCTGACAGCTGCTCTCAGTGCAGTCATCTGCAGCTGCCTGGTGGCGTGCAGTCTTGGCCACGGTGTTTGTGCTGGAGCTGAAGGGAGTTTATGACGCCAGCAGGGTTCCTGGTCAGAACTCAGGAACTCACCGTGTTTGGAAGGAAATGCCATGTTTCTGCCATAACTTTAGATTAAGCTCTGATTTTTTTTACCTTGAAGTCAGTGATTCTATAGTTGACACAGTCTTAAGTCAGTTCCAGTAAAATATGATGAGACCAAGTGGCCCAGAGCCACTAGTACCCACTCAGAAGCCAACAAGCCGAAATCCTGAGCCCCACTTTGAAGGACGCAGTCTCTAACCTGGCTTTTCTGTTTTTTCCATCTGTTTTGCATCGGGTCATCTTTTTTTAAAACAGACCAGCTGAATTTTGAAGTAGTTCCTTTTCTGTATAAGGACTAGTAAGCAATCTTGAGATGTTTTAATTTTAAGATTTTTTTTCTTTTGCTTATATATTACTAAAAATATGGACAAGAAAAAAATGAATGTTCATATGTTGGTATTATAGTTTTCAAAACTCTATATATCAAACTACTGAGAATTATTTTTTAAATAGAAATAATCTCAGTTATACGTTTTTTAATTAGTGTTTTTTTGTTTGTTTTTGCAGCGCTAAAGATTGAACCCAGAGTTTCACACGTGCTAGGCAAGCACTGAACCACTGAGTTACATCCCCAGCCCTTAATCATTCTTATTTTATGTCATTTTATATTATTTTGTTATTTTATTTTTGTGCTCTGGGGATGGAACTCAGGGTGTCACACGTGCTAAGCTGTGCTCTGCCACTAAGCTATACTCCCAGCTCTTCCATTCTATTTTATGAACTGCTTTTTTCATTCAGCAGTATACTGTGGTCTTTGTAGGTTAGTAGATAAGGTTTTTACACCCTTCAAAAGCTTGAGTCTTAGGCAAGGCTACCTGGTGTGTACCCAGATTTTCATCTGTTTGTTAAAGTACTCAGTGGAATGAATTTAGCAATAACTACCATTAGAAACCACAGGATTTCCTTGCATAAAATACTCAAGAGGTAATTTTACTTTAGAATTTCAATTTTAGTTAAAATTCTTTCTTTGAGGAAAGAAAGCAAAGCTAAAATGTAAGTGGCAGATTTTTAAGTCATATTTTAAAAATCTGAGCCTCTTTTGTTTAAGATTTGTTGAGTTATAGGGCAGTTGCTGCCGTGCAGGAAAACAAGGGCTGGGTTAGGTTGGTCTGTGTCTCCCACACCACTGGTGTCCTTCCCATTGACCACAGAGAACAGACGTGTGACGCGGTGGGGAAGTTCACCAAGGCCATGGACGATGGCGTGAAGGAGCTGCTGACCGTGGGCCAGGAGCACTGGAAGCGCTGCACCGGGCGTAAGTGCCACCGCGTGGCTCAGCTTTGTGAACACTCTTCCTGGGAGCCTTCCCCACACAGAGGCCACTCCTGTGGACCCAGTGTGTCACTCCCAAGGCCCTTGGCCTGACCTCACTCCTCCACCCCGTTAAACAGCAGAAAGCCAGCCCCAACAGAGCCAGTCCAAGAAGTCCCACCAGGAACACCTGTTACATAGTTCCAGCTGCTGGGGTTTTTTGTTTTTGCTTGTTTGTTTTTTCTTTGGTACTGGAAACTGAACCCAGGGGTATTTTACCACTGAACTACATCCTCAGTCCTCCAACTTGAGATTCTCCTGCCTCAGCCTCCCAAGTCCTGAGACTAAAGGCATGTACCACCACACCCAGTGGTAAGATGTGATGTATTTGACTAAAGCCACAATTCTTAGGAAAGCCAGTATCGTTGCTAGGACAGACAGTCTGGGTGCTAGGGAGACGTGGCACATTAGCCATGGCTCCACCTACCTTCCTGGCTGTGGGAGCCTCTTCCTCCTGGGACTTTGGTGGGAACTGTCACCCAGCGGGGCCATTTTCCTACATCCAGAATTCTGCAGCTCTTTGGTCAAAGCCTGACAAATACAGTCAGGTTTCCAGGGACGCTCTTCTCTAAAATATAAATGAAGGAATTCAGTTTTGTTTTTTAAGATACTCAACCTTATCACTGTTCAGGAAAACAAAAATTAAAAACATGATGAAATATAATTGTACATCTTCCAATTTGTCCCATTTTGCAAAGGAAAAAAAAACATACTCTGTATTTTTAACATTGTGAAGCAGTGGGAACATTTATCCTTCTATGATAGGGATACAGGAGGAATAATAATTTTGGGAAACAGTTTGACGTGGTGTAGTAAATTCAAGATGCTAGTGTGTTGAAATTGGAAATTCCACTTCTTCCCAATCAAGATAAGTTTTCACATAGGCACAAAGAGAGATATACACAAATGTTTGCAGCAGCATTGTTTGTATCAGTTAAATTTATATTAAATAACTGAAACTGAACACTTTTAATCTGCAGAACTAATTTCACATGGTTCCAGGTTAAAAAAAAAACTGATTTCACATGGTTCCACGTAAAAACTGGAAACAACAGTTCATTTATGATATATTCCAATGATACTGTGTCCTGTGAACCACAGCTGCTCTGTTTATCAACATAGAAGAATCTCACAAAGCAAAACAAACAAAACAAGCCATGGAATACTCACAGTACGTTGGAATTCACATATTATCAGAACATGTCAAAGTAAGCCATATATTTTTTAGGTATGTATGAATTAGGAAAAAAACAAATGAAAGACAAGCAAAAATTCATGGTCAGAAGGACATTGAGTTGGGAAGGACAACACAATGATCTTAAAAGTCATTGGTAATATTCTGTTTTTTAAAACTGAGTAGGTGGCCTAGATGCATTTTAGGAAATCAGTTTTTAAAGTAATAGATTTGTTTAGCTATTAGAAGGTCATCAAAACAAACCACTTAAATCTATGTGCCCTTTGAAAACTTTTTTTTTAAGTGAATGCAGATGTTAAATTTTTAAGAATATCAGACAAATCTGGGATTGTGGTTTCTTTTAGAGAATTAAATTCTTTACATTTGCTGGCTGGTCAGCTCCAAGCCCTGTTAGGCCATAGGAAGAGATGTGTGAAACTGGAGGTACTGGCTTTAACACGAAACCCCCGTGGGGTCAAGCACCTGGCAGTGTCTTTGAGCCCAGAGAGAGGCAGAAGCACCAAGGTGAACCGGTTCTTAAGGTTGACTGAGCTAACATAGTTTTGGTCCGAGTGTCCTAATAACCTACCGCTCAAACAGGTTCCCTCAAAGGCCATAGGCACATGCGAGGGGACAGAGCAGCCTATGACACGGAGACTTTCTTGGAGATGCTCTGGAAAGATCCTCAAATCCTAGTGTCTCCCAGCTTAAGGAGGAGGCTTAGGACCAGTTGGTGAGGAGACAGCTCCCCGTCCCCAGTCCCATGATTCTGCCTTGTTCTGCCACACTTCCTCCTCTTAGTTGTTGTGTGGTTGGTTATTGGTCTGCATGTAGCCTTGGGCTCATCAATTAGGTTGTCTGTACCTTATTTTCCTTCACATGGGGACATCTCTACCCCTGGTGGGGGTTCTTGTGACAACTCAGTTCAGTGATGCATGTAAAGGTGCTTTGAAACCAGAAGTCATTCAGGTGAGCTTGGTTTCACTGTGTTTCATTCAGTGGATGAGAAAGTGGGGTGGTTGGTAATAATAGCATCCACTCTTAATTGAACATGAATTAAACATAAATAAATAACAAGTTGAGCACCATGGTACATGCCTGTATTCCCAGCAACTCAGGAGACTGAGGCAGGAGGGTCCCAAGTTGTCCAGCCTGGCCAACTCAGTGGGGCCTTTTTAAAATTTAAAAAGGGCTGGGGCTTTAGCTCATGGTAGAGTGCTTGCCTAACATGTATCAGTGCTTTATTAAAGAATATAGACTGTTTTGAATCACATCAGATGTCTTTTGTTATAAAGTAATTACTGTTAGAAAAAAGTGAACCCCATTTCCGTTTACTAGGAGGACTAGTTAACAATTGATTCTTTCATTCTCCTTCAGCATTACCCAAGGAATATCAGAAGATAGGAAAAGCCTTGCAGAGTTTAGCAACAGTGTTTAGTTCCAGCGGTTATCAAGGTACATCTTTATTTATTTATTTTGTATTTTTTTAATCGATACATAATAATTGTACCCACCTATCGAATACAGTGTGGTGACTCGTTGCCTGTACGCAGTGTACTCAGTGTGCGATGTGAAGCCGGGGCAGCTAGCCTTTCCACCTTTATCATTTCTTATGTTTGGAGCCCGTGCTGCTCTTGAGTTCTGCATAAAATATGTAATAGGCTGTTGTGTACTGGGGTTGCCTGCTGTGCTGTGGAACTCTGGAACCTGTTCCTCTTGGGGTTTCACTTCCTATTACCCAGCCTCCTATCCCCATCATCCCTGACCTCTAGCGACCCCAGTTCTGCTGTCTTCCACTTTGAGATCAGTTCTTTTGGCTTCCGCAGTTGAGAGAAAACCCTCTTTCAGGGTCTTATTCAGACCTGTCAAACCTCAGGATCTGGCAGGCAGTCAGCAGTGTTGCAGTGAGCACTGCTGTCCCTGATGTCCACTTGGCCACGCCACATGCACAGGCTTGTGCACCCTCACCTCCTGGCTCTGGAGAAGAGTGAGGGGCTATTACACTGGTGTTTTCTTGCCAGCTTGGCTCCCTGACTTTGCTGTCAGGTGTAGCTCCTTCACTTAATGTGATAGGTAACTGCGGCAGACAGCAGTCTACCCTTACTGCATCTCTGTGCCAGACCTCGTCAAGGCTTCCTGTTGAAAAAGCCAGGTTTCGTCATCAGGGCCTTTCAAGGAACCATATTTAAGTAATAAATCTGTTGCCTTGTATCTCTTCATAATCGTTTTCAGCTTCTCCTGCACAGATATGTGCTGCCTGTGGCAGGTGGAGTCCTTGCCCTCATACCTTGGCAGCACTTGTGAGTTTCCTTTATAAAACGGAAAAAGCATTGGTCAGCTAGGGCACCTATTGAATTTGAGTGTCTCCTCTCGCCACGTGGGAAACTCAGTGTTAGAATTGGTACCTCCCCAAGAAGCTAATCTGATACCAGACAGGACGGGGCTTTGGATGTCATTTGCTAAATGTTTGCAGAAACAAGAAATGGGTCTGTCATCAAAATATAAGATTGAGGGCTCCCACATATGAGTAGTTCTTGTTGGCCTGACTTCTTCATCTTATAATCGGCACTTAGACTGGAAGGAGCCTCAGGTCCAGTTAGCCTCAATGAGAAGCCTATGAGAAAAGTGCCTTGGCCTAGTTGACCAGTGGCCAGTGGAGGCACCAAGACCAGAGCTGGGAGTGGGGTGGTTCCTGGGCAGATGTACAGGCACCCTGTTACCTTTGAGGTGCTGCAGTGTGGAACTAGGTGGGAGCCGTCTGCGATGCTGGAAGCCACTTGTTGGTCCCCATGGCATCCTGTGTCAGAACTTCTGAGGCCTAGAATGGACAAGCTCACCTCTTTCAGAATGTGGCTTGTTTGGATTTCATCATTCCTGCCATGCATCAGTGACTAAGGAAAAGCAGGACTTTTTCCTTTGGTATCTTGTTACCATGGTGAGATTGGCAGTCCCTTGCTGTCATCCATGCCCTAACTGGTAGTGGAAGCCTAACAGTTCTCCTAGGTGTGAATTCAGAGTTTGTTTTGGGCCAGGTTATACAATACATGTACCCAGATTTTGGATCTCTAGTCATTTGAAATCACATAGAAAACTTAGAAACCATTCAGAACAATCATAGGGTTTTCAAAGAGCAGTTGGCTGTTCCCTCCTCCCTGATTCTGGAGGAGATGAGAATATCACTCATTGTTCATTGGTATGACAGTAGTAATAGAGGTGCAGATAACTGACCAAAAGTTTTAAAAGAGAGGGAAGAGAATTCGGTAAACTAGAAAGTGATTTCTAAAGAAGTTCCTTGATGACGTTATACTACAAATAACTCATTCTCTTAAAAATATGCTGGAACCCACTGTATTTTTCTTGAGACAGATCAGGTTCTCTGGAGCCTTACCATCTCTATAATTTTAACCTGAACCACCAACATAGAAGAAAGAAAATGTAGTTAACCAAAAGGAGAAAGGAGGACTGGAAGGTGCAGGTGGGAGGAGGGCTGAGGCCACCTCCAGGTAGTGAAGGTGGACAGTAGGAGGGGGCGTCAGGCACTGCCACTGTCCAGGTGCTCATCTCTTGAATGCCCCAGAATGAGCTGCACAATGATTCCTCCATATTTTCTGTACTGTCCTTGTCACGTTATCTAATAACACATTGTTAGATAGTCATCCTGCAAATGGCATTTTCAAGTATTAAAAAGTACTCAATATGTTTTATATTGAATGTCATTTAATTTACTATTAATGTCATTTAGTTACTATTTTTAAAGAACTGTTCAAGTTCCTCCTGACAAACTTCTTTCATCTCAAAGGACAGTGAAGGTCAGTAGTGCCGAGCGTGGTGTCCTGGAGCAGCACTGCGCCCTGTGCTCTTGTGATTACCGTCTCTGCAGCCCATTCCTAAGGAGGCCTCTGGCTAGAGCAGACACGCTCACCCTGCTCTCTCAGCAGTGCTTGTGGTCGACTGACCCATGAAATAGTCCATATTCATTGAATTATCATATGGAAATGTAATCAATAAAAAATTATAAATGATTATCTGTGGAAGAGGAGAAGGACAGATACAGAAGCAAGGCTCTGATGATAACTCCTTTTGTAGATTTGACTTTGAAAAAACGTGACTGTTTAACACAATTATTAGAAAACCAATTTAAATCAAAATGAAAAAGAAATCCCTTAGAGTCAAAAACATAACATGTGGGCAGGGGTTATAGCTCAGAGGTACAGTGCTCACCTAGCATGCATGAGGCACTGGGTTCGATCCTCAGCACCATATTAAAAAAATAAAGATATTGTGTCCACCTGTAACTAAAAAAAAAAAAGAAAGAAAAAAACACTTGACCTGGTTCATTGAGGTGAAAGCAGTGACTGTGCGACCTACAGAAGATGCCTAAGGTCTTAAAGACTGCAAAAGGATTAGTTACGTTTGCTAATCCACTAATAAGCAATAGGATATTGGTATTATTATTATAAAACTTCTAAAGCTATATTTACATAGTGTAGGGCAAGCCAGATATCTGATTGTTATTGTTATTAGCAACTAAAATTTTTAAAATAAAAATCAAAGTTTAAAACAAAGTTAAAAAAAACTCTTGAGTTCTAATCTTGAATTGGAAATATTACTATGAGTTCATGATGTATTTTCCATCTTTTGAAGAACACAGTTTTCCCTGCTATTCACTTAAAAGGCCTTTCTTTGATCACCAAAAAATTGATAAAGGAAAGTTAACAGAAGTAATAAAGAATGAATAATTAGGGGATCGGATTGTGGCTCAGCAGTGGAGCGCATGCCTAGCACCTTTGAGACCCGGGTTCGATCCTCAGCACCACATAAAAATAAAGGCATTGTGTTGTGTTCATCTACACCTAAAAAATAAATGTTAAAAAAAAAAGAATGGGGGCTGGGATTGTGGCTCAGCGGTAGAGCACTCGTCTAGCACGTGCAAGGCCCTGGGTTCGATCCTCAGCACCACATAAAAATAAATAAATAAAATAAAGGTATTATGTCCAACTACTTCAAAAAAATAAAATGTTTAAAAAAAGAATGAATAATTAAATAGAAGAGCACCATTTTGTAAATCCATACTAAAGTAAAAGACATGGACATTTGTGGCCTCCAACGTTGTGAACACTAGAAATAACTGGAAAACGTGAATCTAAATCTAAATCTGGTCAAGCCTCCAGACCTTATGGCCAGTGTGAAGTGAAGGCAGGAACAGGAACGTGTTAAGTGTCACTGCAGAGATGCAGTTAGCAGCACCCAGGTGTGGGACCCGTGATCCTCAACACCCCGTGAAAAGAACTTTGCAAGGAATAAAAGCGGGGCGGGAAGAAGAGGCCTCCATGACAAACCCAGGCCTGTCTTCCGCATCTTCTTTGCATCCTGGTTCAAAAGCCACCTTGCCCTGAGCTGCCTGGAGCACCCACTGGAGGGTCACGCCTGTCAGAGTCATGGTCTTTTCTTCATGTGCTGTGGAGTGCAGTGGTATTGTCCTGTTTTTCAAAGGGTCCTTATCTTTTAGGTACAGTTTCCAGGTGGATTGTGTGACAGGAGTGGAGAGTGTACATAGGAAATGTTGACCTTAAGCTTCCAGTTGGGAAGCTGGGCGCCAGTGCTAAGAATCACAAGATTGAGCTTGCTTGTTTTGCGAGTGTTTGGTATTTCCTACATTAAAATTTACCAATAAAATTTTGGAGAAAATCAAAAGTAAATATGTATAACTTCCAGTCACTATAATCTTTTTCAGGTGAAGCAGATCTCAATGACGCAATAACAGAAGCAGGAAAGACTTACGAGGAGATCGCCAGTCTTGTGGCAGAACAGGTACTGCATGATCACATGATCCCAGGGAGGAGTTTTTTGCTTTCTAATGCACAGATTTAAGACTTATTGTACAGCAAATCCAAATAGCCTTTTCTTTTCTGCTTTTAAATGTCTTTGTTAACTGTAGGGGGATGGGGCTTCTGTTTGTTCTGCAGTGCTGGGGCCAGAAATCCAGGGCCTTGCATGAGCTAGCCAAGTGCTTCCACTAAGCAACATCTCCAGCCCACTGACACAGTGTTTCTTAGGTTAAGCCAAAGTGGATAGACAAAATGTGTCATCCAAAAATCTAAAGGAAGTTGGAATTAGTGGTAGATCATCTGTTTAGCATGTGTGAGACCCTGGATTCTGTCCTGAGCACACACACACAAAAAACCAATCTAAATGAATGCCTTCCAGTATTGATAGCTCTGAGCCGTGCTTGGCCTTCGAAGGATGGTGGCATATGGGAGAGAGCACTGGCTCAGCCCTGCCAGGACTCTTACCTAGACTTGCTGTGTCTTGGTCTCCTCATGTGTTAAAGGGCCTTGGTAGTGCCTACCTTCTGTGGTTCTGAGGATTTCATAGCTAATATATTTCTTTTTAAATATTTTTTAGTTGTTGATGTACCTTTATTTTTTATTTATTTATATGCGGTGCTGAGGATCAAACCCAGTGCCTCATACATCTAGGCAAGTGCTCTGCCCCTCAGGCACAGCCCCAGTTCCTCATAGCAAATATATCTTAAAAAGCACTTGCCACAGTCCCCAATTTCCTTTTTCTTTTAACAGATAACAGTTTTTAAGGGGAATAATCATATAAATTGTTTTACATCTCTGATTTTTAAAAAAAAATCAGATGGCTCTTGAAATATACTTATGCCACATATACACACACGCACATACACACACGGGCATACACACTGAAGCAGTCAGTCAGTAGCTCTTTTGCTAATACTCATAAAAATATCAAGTTTAGAATTATAAGTAACATAGCTATTAAAAATTACCATTAGGTCAACCATGGTGGTGCGGCACCTGCAATCCCAGCCACTTGGGGCCTGAGGTGGGAGGATGGTAAGTTCAAGAGCAGTCTGAGTAATTTAGCAAGGGAAAAAGCGGGGCAAGGGAGAAGAGCCTTAGATGACAAACAGGGCACCTGTCTTCCACAAGGGCCTTCTTTGCTTCCTGGTTCAAAAGCCAGCTTGCTCTGAGCTGCCCAGGACCACCCCCTGGTGGGTCACACATGTCAGAGCAATTTTCTTTCTTAGGTGTGCAGTAGTATCATTCCTGTCTTTTAAAGGATCCTTATCTTTAAAGTTGGTGGGTGAGCTGCTGGGTGAGCTAGGGGTGTAGCTCAGTGGTGGAGCACTTGGCTGGCATGCACAGGCCCTGGGTAGAATACTCAGTACAGGGGGAGTGGGGGAGTATATCTATACACTCATATATATGAATTCAAAAAATATAGAATCACTTAAAAATTGCCACTTAAGAAGATTACCAGGTTTTTAAATAATATTTGTATATTTTCTGCTAAAAAATAAAGATATTAAACTATAACAATTTATTTGTCTGCATATAAAACATACAGTTTTTTTGTTTTGCATTTTTCCCTCTGTACTGGGGATTGGACCCAGGGTACTTTACCACTGAGTCACATCTACAGTCTTTTTTATTTTTTTTATTTTGAAACAGGGTCTCACTAAGTTGCTTAGGAGCCTGCTAAGTTGCTGAGGGTGGCCTTGAATTTGCTGTCCTAGCAAGCCCCTGAGATTACAGGGTGCACCACCACACCTGGAAAAACAAACTATTAGCTGAGAATTTTTCCCTCATACTGTTTTATTTTGGATCACCACAAAATATCTAATTTTACAAAGCAACCTAAAAATTGTATGCTGTTTTATCCTTTACTACATGTGAGTCAGAGTGCAGTAGTTTGGGGGATTATTTTCTTTTAGGAAAAGTGGTCTGAATGCCTCACGTACAGTGACTTGGCTATGCGTGGAGGATCTGGTTGGCATGGTCCTCATATACTAGTTTCTTTTCTGTGATTTTTTTTTTTTAATTCCTCTGCCAGTAACAACCAGCCAATCTCTTGTTACAGCCAAAGAAAGATCTCCACTTCCTCATGGAATGTAATCACGAGTATAAAGGCTTCCTTGGCTGCTTCCCGGATATCATTGGTGCTCACAAGGTAACCTGGCCACAGGCACAAAGGAGAGGGCTTTGGGGGCTTTGGGCAGACACACACAGCCTGGCAATGCCATCTGATAGGGTAGTCCTTATTAATAAGAAATGCTAATTCCCATCATAAAGATTTCTAAACTTGTTAACGATTCCCAACTAGAACTAAAGGTATATTTGAAAGAAAAAAAAAAAGATCTCTAAACTTAAAAATTGGATTGGGTGACCTCCCTTTTACAAAATCCACATTACCTCAGTCATGAGAATTTTACCAGCTATGGCATTTTGCATTCTGCTTTATGCTTTACCATTTAAATCTTGTGAAGGGGAAGCATGGGTTAATTGGCTTTTGTACAACTTCAGACAATTTAGTGTAAAACTGAGAACAATTTGCTTCTCATAGGAATTTGCCCTGGCAGGCTTGGAGTTCTAGGCATGGAGGCTGATTTGGGCAGTAGTATGGCATTTTCCCTCCCAGATAGCCCTAAACAACAAGCAGGGCAGTGACACTGGAGTGAGAGATTTGTGGCAGCCTTTACAACTTCTACCATCTAAATATTAGTTTAAATTTATTCATTCCCCCTTAAAAAAATCTGAGTAAAGCTAAGCCTTGCAATCAGCAGATGCAAGTGCCAGCTTATAAACCTTGTTTCAGGGAAGAAGAGACAGACAAAGCCCCGTGTGCAGGTACTACACGGCAGCTCCCTCGGGCTTCCCAAAGCTGCTGGGAATGCCTGTTTTCCTGTTGTGCACTACTCTTAAAATAATACAGAGATGGTGTGCTGTTTGGTTTTCTCTTTTGTTGTAGCATAAAAATGATAAATTTTAGCTAAGTTACATTTTTCAGGAATAGCAGTCTTTTCTCTTTCAGGGAAATTAAATTTAGATGCTTGCCTCTGTTCTTACTGGTGGATACATGTTCCCACTTGTGGCAAGTCACTTGCAGAATATGTTAACATTGTTGCATTTTTTAAAATATTTATTTGTGTTTCTGTAGTTTTAGGTGGATACATTAGTTTGTTTTTAGGTGGTACTGAGGATTGCACCCAGTGCCTCATGCATGCTAGGGGAGCACTCTACCACTGAGCCACCATCCCAGCCCCAACATTGTTGCATTTTTTTAAACTAATGACTAACCCCTTTCAATTTGTCTTACCAATATCATTGCATTTTCTATTTCACAGGGAGCAATAGAAAAAGTGAAAGAAAGTGATAAGCTAGTTGCAACTAGTAAAATCACTCCACAGGACAAGCAGACCATGGTGAAGCGAGTTGGCACCATGTCTTATGCTTTGCAAGGTAAGGAGAAAGGTTATGAGTAGTTGGTGGAGGGCCATCCCGACAAAGTAGACATTCCCCTTGCTGGAGAGAACTCCAAATATAAATAGCAGTTAAATAAACAAGAGCCCCTTGCTTGCCAGATCCCATTGTTAAAGAAAAGCTGTGATATTTAATTTCTCACTAATGCCCCTCACAGCAGCTTGATTAAACCTACATGTTGTGTTACTTCTTACAGACACTGAAGGTTCTTTTTATAACCCTTAATATCATACTGCTCTATTAAATTCCAAAGCCTGGCATTTATCGGTGTATAACCTTTGTGCCCCAGGACTGTGAAGGGCAGTGGGGATCGGGAGGAATCATCCTAGGCATAGTTTGGCTGGTAGTAAGTAGAAGATATTGGTTCACTTTTAGAGATGGGACCATGTGTGAACAGACAGGAGCAGCAATGGAGGCTCCTGTGTTTTGGTGGATGGTGGATAGTGGATGGATGCGGAAGGGCGTTCGTGGTATTTAACATGCAAATCAATGAAAACATCCATGTACTGGAAGGTGGTGTTTGCCTGACTGTGCAGCCGGTTTTTCTAGCCTCTGTGCAGGATGATGTGCCAGGAACTGCTCAGAAGCCAGCCAGATCAGGTCCAGTTGATGATGAGTCATGACTGAGTGGAGAAACCAGGTGTAGTCATTTGAAATCTTGGGGGGGTGGAAACTAACAGCTGTCTTGGTTTGGGTTGTAGCTGAGATGAATCACTTCCACAGTAACCGGATCTATGATTACAACACCGTCATCCGCCTGTACCTGGAGCAACAAGTGCAGTTCTATGAAACAGTAAGTGGGACCCCTTTCAGTGCCTTTTGCACCCATACCCTAAGAGGAGGGCTTGCAGGTAACTAACTTTGGCCCCATAAAGTCAATCTGTTTGTATTCTTTAATCCTAAGTAATAAACCAAAAGGGGTTAAGTTTTGAACAGGTTTTTTTTTGTTTTTAAAACCTCTTTTAATTCCATCTGTCCTTTCCTCTTTGGGTAACATTGAGTTTAAAAGGGTTTCTTCTGAAGAAGAAGCACTGGGTGCTAGTTTTGAAGATTCAAGAAGTCCTGACTGCACAGCTTCCCGAACCTCCTCCCAGCCTTTCTGTGTCTTTGTGCACAGGGACAGTGCTGAATGAGATGAGGTCACCCTGTTGCCAGAGACTTCATCCTCTCAGCTGGGAAATGAGACCAAAGGCAGCCTTTGTGTGTGACCCAGGTGTTCAGAGTGGACCAAAGGATTCTCTATAGGAAACCAAAAGAGCAAAACCTTAAATATTTTCATTTAGAAAATTACAATGAAAACGTAAACTCCCATGCTTCTGTAATGTTTTGGTTAGCAGAACATGGAAAAAAGCATTCTTTTCATGTAAATGGAGCTTTGACATCAGAAGACAAGTTCTGTAGTCATATTGACCGCTGGGCCCTGCCTTCTCTCTCTGCATTATGTGTGTTCAGGGACTCAGCTCACATCCAGTCATTTGTCACCTTTGTGCTCATACTGTCCAAAACGCCAGTCTCCCGTGGCAGGCTGCTGACACGGAGCTGTGCGTCACTTGCTTCCTGCTTGTCTGTGGCATGTGTGGGAATAACTGGGGTGGGCGGTGTGCCTAGAGAGAGTTCGCCAGCGCCTCCTCCGCCCAGCAAGCTGGGCCTGTGATGGCGTCACACCTTCTCCTAACTGGGGCTGCAGGTCTTTGCCTCTGGCTCCTGTGAGAACACAGCCACACTGTCAGCAGCAGCCAGCCATGGAGGAGCAGGGCTGAGATCAGTTGAAGGAGCCGGCAAGTTTGTGGTGTTTACTTGTGAGAGTTGTAACGGTAGTGTGCTGTGACATCATCATGGGGTAATATCTCGGAATTGCTTTGTTTTTTCACCAGATTGCAGAAAAGCTGAGGCAGGCCCTCAGCCGCTTTCCGGTTATGTAGAACAGAGCGGAACATGAAGAAAACTCCGAAGTGCTTCCTTCTGACTTGGGCAATGCAGTTCAAAGTTTATTTTTTTCTCCATCATCAGAAAAAAAGAAAGAAAACCAAAAAGAAATGAGTTGGAAAAAGCTGTTTTCTCTGTTAACCAGCCTGAATGCACTATTATTTAGGGTTGGTCTTCTTTTGTTTATTTCTACATTCATTATTTAAACCAATGGAAATTGTCTCTATTTTTGGAAAGAACTTAAATTTATTAGGATTTTTGAATGGAGAATTAGGGGCTCCCCACTGATATTTTACATAATCGTAATTTATACATTACCCATGATCTTCCGGTTCTTACCCAATGTCAGATAATTAATTACTAATTGCTTTCTTAAAAATATGAAATATTCCAGAATAAAAAGACACATGTTTATATATTTTTATAACTCCTTGGTCTTCTGGGGTTCCTGTCTGTTCAGGAAGATCCACACACCCTTCACTGTGCCAGTGCTTCTGTCTCAGGAGGGAGAGAGCCCAGGGCTCTGGTCACCTTGCTCTGCATGTGCTGCAGGGGCCATCTCGTGTCCCCTTGGTGGGCCCAGTGGGCACACAGCAAGTGCACCTGCCTGCTGCTCTTCCGTGGAAGACAGTGCTCCCTCTGTGCCCTGCTTCCTGATCCTGGGCAAGGCGTGTTTTTGCTAGAAAGAATACAGCAGAAAGGCTGAAAGACCTTTTAAAAAGGCTTTAACCCCGGGCTGGTGGCCGTTCTGACTCTTGTGCCCAGGAGCACCGGGGGAGAGCATCCTCCAGAGCTGCCACCCCCTCCCATCCTGTCCCTCCACTCGCCATCAGAGGGAAGAAGTGCTGGGATGGCCACGAGATTGCCATGTGGACAGGAGGCCAGTCCAGGTTCTCTGAAAAGATGGAAACCAGAGTTTAGTGCCTGGCCCCTCCCCACCAAATGGGAGAGTTTGGGGACTGAGATGGACGGCAGCATGCCCAGTGTGCAGGAAGGTGCTGATGAGAAGCCCAAGCGACACCTGTCTTGACTGTCCAGCCTTCCTGGTCACTGATACTTCCATTAAGGGCACCAGGCAAAAAGGTCTCGACCTGCTGACCGCTGATTAGCACCCGCAGGCCGCCCGCTCTACTGTTGCCTTACCACCTCATCTGCCACCGTCCCTGCTCTGACCCAGTGATTACAGAAACGGAAAGTCAGCAGCAAAAACAGGAGAAACCAAAGCAGTAGATGAGGACAGTAGTCACCTGAGAACCTCCCGCTCTCCAATATCACGGGTCTGTCACTGTTTATAAGTAATTCTCCCCACCTGACTTTTCCCCTATAAAATCCCATAGAACAGTGTTTATGATACAGCCATTTAATATATGTACAAACTGTAAAGAATATGTATAAATATTTTACACAAATGTAAGCATGTAGAAGCCAACGTATAAATAAATTGTTTAAAAACTGTACAGTAAATTCTCAAAGCAAATTTTTTCAAAATACTCCTTGGTGTTTTAGTAAGTGGTTTGTTGTTTGGGGGGTGGGGGTTGTTGGTTTTTGTTCTTATTCCAGCTGCCAAAAATGTTCCAGGCATAATTTCCTGTGGCACGAATCAGAAGTTTAGCCTTGGGTCTGTGATCGTCCCTGGCAGCATCTCATCGTGGCATGGGGAGCTGTGGGACACAATGTCCTCCAGGTGTCCTGAGCTCATTGGTGTGAGAAAGGGGCCAAGAAAATGGAGACTTACCCAGGAAGATGGCAGTGGCGTGGGGTGTTCCCAGAGTGACAGGAAATTCAAGCCCTCGAAAGCTGACACTTGGAAGGGTCTCCTTCAGAGGGCAGAGTTTTAATGTCACGGTGTGTGTTTTCTTCTCTTAGGGGATTCTTATTTGGTTTGATTTTTAATGACTTATCTTTAGTTTTCTTAGAACTATCATCATACAGTAAAGACTTTCATATATCTTGACTGTGGACAAATAGGTGAGCATTTGGTGAAAGTCTGGTCTGCATGTGGGGCAGGTGACAGTGGCCTTCCCAAAGTGGCGTCCCAGAAGGTCAGCCCACTGAGTGATGGGCCGGCGTCAAGGTTGGCATGGTCCACCTGCAGGCCCTGAGTAGGAGAAGGCCTTCCCCACGCAGAAGAGGGAACAACACAAACTGCACCTGTAGGCCCCGACCCTCCAGCCAGGCTCTTGTCCTCTGTGGGCAGAGTATTCCGTTTCTTCCCTGCGGGGACAGGGAGAGCGTGGGGCTGGCTGGGCAGAGTATTCCGTTTCTTCCCTGCGGGGACAGGGAGAACGTGGGGTTGGCAGGTCCTTGTGAGGCACATGCTGGGGCAGAATGAGCACATACCAAGCTCATGGCAGGAAAGGTGCCACGCAGGTCTGCCCAGCACGGGCCACAGTGCACCTTAGCTGTGGAAGGAGACCTTCCAGCCAAGGCCACTCACCGGCTGTGTGTGACCCCTTCCTCAATACAGCTAGTCCTCGTCTTCTCCAGAGGGATCATAGAACCCACCGAAAGGCAAGGAGTCTAAAATGGGAGAGTGTATTATGAAAGTAGACTAAAATCCCTTAAAAGGAAATGGGACACTTTGTGCTGGAATTTTTGATGACATTCCAGGTGAGGTAAGCCAGTTATGAAAGGACAGCTACTGTCCCATGCCACCTACCTAAGGTATGCAGAGTGGTCAGAGTCACAGGACAGGGAAGGTGGATACCCAGGCTGGGGAGGAAGAAACGGGGAATCGCTGTTCCATGGTGCAGAGCTTGGGTTTGCTTTAAAATGCATAAAGTGGCCTCAGAACACTGATGTTAAAACTTACTCAGTTCCCTGTTGGGTGACACCTTTCTGAGAATCCTGTCAGATGCCCTAAATTAGCATGTCCTCCTGCTCTGGCAGGGACTGCCTGTCCTACTTCAGCCCCGTGTGACTCGGGCGTGTGGTTTGGTGGCTGTGCCCCCCCCCCCCCCGTCTCCTCACGTGGATACCTTCACAGCACTCAGCTGGCCTCTCCAGGGGCCTCTGCAGTCTCGGGACACTGCCATGCTTGCTGACGGCCTGGCTCTCAGGCGCACATTCACACACCCCAGAGCCTTCACAAATGGACGGACTTCCTTTATAAAACAGGCCACGGGAGCCTGTTTGCTCCTTCTGCCATGTGAGGACCAGCAGGAGATAGCCATCCATGAAGAACAGGCCTCACCGCACCCGGAATCCGCTGGTCCCTGGACCTTGGCTTCCCCGTCTTCAGCTCTGAGAGAGGTCGATGTTTGTTTAGAAGCCACCTGGTTATGGTGTCTTGTTATAGCAGCGTGAATGACCAAGACAGTCCCCTCTGTGTGTCTGTTTCTCCCGTATTCTGCCCTTCAAATTCTAGCCCCACTGTGAGGGGTCAACCAGTGAGACCCCCCGAGCTCTGGAAGCCACATAGGAGTTCCAGATCCACCGCAGGGACCGCCTAGTTTGTTTCTCCTCCCAGTGATGAAAGTCCTGCGCTGCTTGTTGTCCGGTGTCTGAAAGCACTTTGCACATATTGGGGTGGGTTTTTCTTTGAGGTGGGCTAGAGGGTAAACTGGCCTCTGCTACTCCATCGTGGCTGAAAGTGGAAACACTCGTTTATTTTCAAATTCCAAGGTGTTATTTCCCAGCATGCGTCAGTCTGTCCAGCAGACGTCCCCAGAGCCCACCCTGCATCACCACAAGACTTGGTCTGGCCAAGGAAAGTCGTTGGGAGCCTGGGATAGCAGATGCTGGCTCTCCAGCTCCACAGGGAGCGAGTGTCGGCCTAAAAGGGCCGACAGCTGAAGCCACTGAGAGAGAACGGGACCTGCATGAGCCAGGAACATGCTGCTCTGTGATGCGAGTTTGAGTTCATCCCCAGAGGAGTAATCCCCTGCCAATCCTGACCAGGGGATCCCTGTTTTTTATTGAACCAGAGTGTCCTTGCATCCTGACCCTAAATGGATGTCTGAAAATGTATTGGCTTGAGGAAGCAGGGACTGTGTTCCTAATGGGAAACTGGATCCTCCCGGACAGACAGGGCAGAGCAGAAGCAGAACAGCAACTGGGTGCAGGCCCAGGCAGAGCATTCGTCTGTGTGAGACTGGATTAGTTCGACGGCCGTTCAAATGACTTCAGCTGGCTCCGTGGATTGTATGTAATTCAGAAGGGAGTATTCTTCCCTCCGCACATGTCTATACCCACGGTGGATTAGCGAAAACGGTGGGCGGACCACTGCAGTGGAAGATGGACCCCTGGAGAACTAAAGCGGGCCTTTGAGGAGCCATCGACACCTGATACTCTTCTGCAAAGAGTGAGCTCTGGCTTCCTAAAGTGGGGCACGTTTCTTTTAAGACCCACTTTTCAACCACCTTTAGACTTTTGACAGCAGCTTCTTCTAACTCACCTCTAACATGGAGCCCATAGAGTCTGGGGGACTAGAAGGGGAACCGGTAAGGACATAGAAGGTAGGCAAACTGGCCATGTGCACGGTGCACGTCTTCTCTGGGGAAAGGATTTGTTCCTGTCGTCAGATCCTTCAAAGCAAGGGTGACTGGATAAAGGGTCGGAGCTACTGCGTTAAAAAGCCAGTTTCAGTGCCGCCAGACTGATCTGTCTTCAGCCACGTCTGGTTCTTTTTCCTGGAATGGCTTCCCCTTCTCTTGCCTCTTTCTGACAACACAGAACCTTGGAATGTAAAGGAGGAGGGAGGAGCGGTTCTCCATGGCAAGTCCCACTGGTGGCAGCTGAGGCCCTAGGTACCTCCCCTGGTCCACAGGGCGGAGAGGGGTTGACTCCTAGCAGAGGTTTAATGAGCACATCCTCCTATAAAGGCCAACTGAGGGCACTGCCGAGTGCCAAGCCACGTGCCCATTCCCCTTTTGGCCAAGGGTCTCAAGGAAACCAGAGAGGTCAGGCCCCAGGTGGGCGTGAGCCAGCTGACTGGAGGACAGCACCTTGCCCTGGGTGCTGCCCCCCAAGCTGCAGCAGGTTCTTCTGAGGGGTGGCTCTTGCTCCATGGACTCATGGTCGGCCCTGGGTTGGAAGAGTCATGGAGCTCCATCAGCAAAGCGCTGTCGTATTTGCCCAGCTTTCCCTTCCCTCCTCCCCTCACACCTTCCTGTGGATCCCGAGCCTGGAGTCGCCTGCGGTAGCCAGTCAGGCACCTGTTTCTGGAACCAGGCTGCAAACCCAGAGACCTGTGCAGGAGCAGCAGGGGAGGGAAAGCACCGCCGCCCACCCCCCCCCCACCCCCCCAGAGATCAGAGGCAGGGAGTGTGGCCAGAGCCCCCTGTTGCTGCGGGAGGGTCCTCAGCTGTCAGAGCTGCAGAAGTGGCTCCTGGCCTGGCACCCTGATTGCCCTGCAAAGGACACCAGTGACACACAGGAACAAAGGAGAATAAGTGCAGTTTAATAACAATGTGATTCATTAAATTATTATGAGTTTGGAGAACATGTAGCTGAGTTTCTAAGGCAGCACTAAGCCTTGCACTGAAGGAACAAGAGTAAGTATCAGATGCAGCTATGTGAGGTCATCTCACGCAAACCTGCTTGTCCCCAACCCCTTTCTCTGTCCACCTGGACTAGAGAGTGGAGAAATCGCCAGGGAGCTCAGGAGGCCACATAAAACACTCTGACCAATGAGTCTCAAGTAGAATCTGAGAGCTTTTGCCTTGTTCTTGTACGGGGGCAGATACAGCTAGCTAGAGTTTCTCCCTCCCTACCTTGAACGTCAGAGCAATGCCTCAGGCTATTTTGTAATCATGAGGCAAGAAGCCAAGGTGCTAAAGATGATCAAAAGGAAGCAAGTGTTTGCCTGGTTCCACGGAGACACTGCTTCTGGAAGGCCTGCCTCCTGTTTATTTAAGATGCTGATAGTTAAGTTTTCCAAAGTACACCTGATGTGCTGGCTAAAATCTTTTAGATTTATATACATGATAGGCTATTATATGTTGCAACTTAATTGGTTTTGTCAAAAGGGAATCATCACTTTACAATTTCACTTTACTTTTCAAAACTATTTTGCTGCAGTAAAATTTAGGATTTTTTTAATGCTATTTAACACTTTCAGACATACATAAAATAAGATGTAAAATGACTCGGTGCTCAGCCTCTGCTCCCCTCCTGGGATGGGAAGCTTGCACTCCCACAAGATGGCTCTGCGCTCAGCACACCTCCCTTTGCTGGAACAGTCTTCGGGAGGCTGCACCAATGCCCCTCTGTAACTCTGCCGCTCTGGTGGCCCCGCACATGCCTCTTGATAAAACACTTCTTGGTGTTTTCATGTACAACTCTTGCAACCCGATCAGACAAGGGGTGTTCTGGAGAAGATCAAGGGCAGAAAAGAAAGGCAGGCTCCCCTGAGTGGCCCCTCTTGCCCCTCTGCAGGAACCCTCAGAAGGAGGGCTGCTGGGCAGCTGTGCCCTCCACACCCCCTGCCCATCTGTTCACCCAGCTTCTGTGCCAG